AAATGTTAGTATCATCCCGCTTTCATGAAGTTTTGCTTTCATGATTATCTTCGAGCAATAAAAGCTGGCGGAACCAAGCACTCGAGGAATATTATCTGGAATTTCAATAATTAAAAAAATGTCCATTTGGGATTTCGTACTGATTAAAAAGAATGGTAGAAGAAAACTACTAGGCCTCTTCCTAATTACAGTTACTACCTCCATATTCGACCATTTCACGGATTGCACACTCAGTTGATTGTTCAATGAAAAAACACCTCCTCATGGGGGTGATTCTAATTAGAAACATTTTTTGCAAACAACCAAAGGGTAACCTTTGCAATAATCTCATTATTATATCAAGAAAATAAGGTACCCAGTAATGTTGACACCAACAAAAGATTGTATTTGGGGGGCATCAACCATTTTTTTTTTTTTTTTTNAACGATGGGCTTCAATAATAGAAACACATATGTACATACTAGACAACAACTACCTAGTAGTCTAGAACCAACCTAGAACCAAAAACACACAAAACACTACAAACTAAAACAAGCTCCCACGAGTGGAATTACAGCTCGCAACAGGAGAATAAGAAGACAAACAAATACCAAGAAACAGGAAAAGGCCTAAAACACAAACAAAACAGAGAAAAGCCTAATAATAGACTAAACTAAAGCTGAATCAACCAATCTAACTACATTGAAAACGCTGCAGCTCGACTTCTATTGTTTAACAAGTGAAATAACCTCCTCCAGATATTACAAGGTCTATATGTAAATATCACATCACAAAATGGAAAGAACCAGCAAAACTTACATCTTACTTTTATCCTTTCTACATTAACCTGGTTTCAACAATAGCCTTCGTACCATTAAGGTAAGTAAGTAGACCTCATATTTAAACGTCGAAGCCAATTAAACTTAAAAAATGATGAAACGAAAAGACTGGATATAGAATATTGACCTCAGATAGTTTTCCAGATTTCTCATCTTCGAGTAAGTCCCTGATCGGGTAATATGCAGCCTTTTTGCAGAGCTCAAGAAGATCGGAACCCGTGTAACCCTCACACAGGGTGGCTATACGGTCATAATCGATGCCACCTTCAACCTTCTCATCCTTTAAAACAACCTTCAAAATTGCAACCCGGTCCTTACGATTAGGCAGCCCAATTTCAAATGCTTGAGGAAGACGTCTAAGGATTGCCTCGTCAAGTTCGGACGGACGATTTGTGGCGGCCAGTACCATGACCCGAGCATGTTCTGCATGAAAAAATTCAATGAAGAATTAACAAACAAACACACACACACACACACACACATTTTTTTAAGGTTAAAGTAGGAACAAAAATCCCTAGCCCCATAATCTGCTGTGGGAGTCTCCCTCATGTTTTACGTCTACCTGATAAATAACACTCATACGTGTATCACTAGGGGTATTTGTACCTTCCTAAAGTTTTTTTAAGGATAATACTCAGATAGTTCTAGTAATTGACCAAAAAAATCGTACTATTACAGAAAGATATTCTCCAGTATAGTAGAGTAATAAACAAAGATATTCCAAGGCTTTGGAGACAATCAACCATAAGTAACTACACCATTTCAATTAAGCTAACACAGCGAGAGATGAAAAGAGATAAGAATCCACGAAGGAGATCAAAAGGCCACGTACGGTCTGTGGTAAAACCATCCCACAAAGCCATAAACTCAGTCTTCATGTTAGTCAGTGCTTCATGGTCTGTAGATTTGCGCTGGCCCAAGAAGCTGTCCACCTCATCAATAAAGATTATAGCAGGCTGGAGTTTGTAAGCCAATGTGAACACAGCAGCCACTGAACATGGAACAAATAAATCAAAATATGGGATAAGGTCAGAATATTAAGATGGAAAATCTTCATTAATCAATTAAAATAATAAGAAACAAGGATCATGATATTCTTTCATCTTTCCTTTAGAGGATCAAGTCTTCTATCAGTACTATTGAAATTGGAACATGAATTAGTTCTAAAGAGATATTAGAAGTTGGATCACTGCAAACGCAGCTCATTTTATCCAAAGGCCCCACATACCTACTTTTCTAATCCAAAAACCATAATTAATAATTACACTACGAAGAAGGTGATAGTTTTCAGAACTATGAAAATAAATATATCACCAGTCTTATCCATTAAACAGCACAAGGAAAACACTTTATCCAGAAACAAATGCATATGACTAAAACAACGATAGACTTTACGAGATGGATGAAGTATGGGTACCTAGCTTCTGAGCATCTCCAAACCACTTGCTCATTAAGTTGGATATTCTCACATTAATGAAAACAGCTCCCGACTCTTTAGCGATTGCTTTAGCAAGCATTGTCTTCCCGGTGCCAGGTGGTCCATACAGCAAAACACCCTTTTGTGGACCAAGAAGCTTCCCGTGTGAAAACAGCTCAGGTCTTCGCAGTGGAAGAATCACTAGCTCATAAAGCGCTTGTTTAATGGCGTCCAATCCTCCAATGGAGTCAAATTTCACGTCTATATGGTCTGGATTGACTACATCACAGGCTACAACATCCTATAAAAAATCATAAACATGAGTAACCACAACATATAGACCTAAAAACAAAATATAGTCTTCAAATGCTTTACAACTTCAACTATTTGTCGATGGGAGCAAGCAACAAGAAGATGCAAATATAAAGTTAAATTTAGCTTTCGATCCAAAACGTCCTAAATTAATGTAATAAGCATAATTGAACAAAATATAAGAAGCAGCATTACGTTAACAATTGTGACTTTGAGGTACAATCACCGGATTATCATAAGCAGCAGCAGCAAAGGGGAATTTCAAAAATCTTAACCCACATTTAACCAACTAAAAAAATATCGCCATTACATACCATAAGAAAAACAAAATTTTAAACCTTACTGAAGACCTCTAAAATTAAGGTCCAAATGAGAACAACCTATCACAAAAAAAAAAGGGGAAGGTCCACTTTTGGTCCTCCATGTATAGGGGGTATCCAGACTGAGTCCCTATTATGTTTTAGTGCCCAATTTTAGTCCTTAAAACAAAAAAATGTAGTCCCTATAATTAGGAAAAATCCACTTTTAGTCCTCCATGTTTAGAGGTATCCAGACTTAATCCCTATTATGTTTTGATGCCCAATTTTAGTCCTTAAAAAAAAAATGTAGTCCATTTACCTCAATTTATGTGAATTAACGGTCCATTTTTGCTCGACCGTTATGTTCTTTATTTTTTTAAAATTTGTTGACTAATGTCAACTTTGACCAAAGAAAAATAAAAGAAAATTTAAATGCTGAAAAAGTAAAATAAAAGACAAAAATAGTGAACTGCAGTGAAACGTAAAAAAAAAACCCTAACCGCCTAGGGACTAAATCCAATCAAATGGATGGAAATGGTGTGGTATTTTGTAGATGTGAGCTGGTTGCAAAGTTGACTACATGCTGGAAGGATGATAATCTCGGGAGAAGATTCTTGAGTTGCCCTCTATATCCTGTAAGTACTTTCCGTGAACTTCAATTGGAATATGATAAGAAATGGTTAAAAAACAGAGGGTTGATAGGTGCAATTTTTTTCAATGGCATGACCCGGAAATGGGTGCAAGAGCATTAGCTGTGATTCCAGGCTTGCTCCGCAGCGCGAATGCTAGGGAAATAGAAATCAGACGAGCAAAAATTTTAATTTAATTTAGTGCAATTTCTTGTTTTAGTTTAATTTTTTATTAATATATTTTCAGCATTTAAATTTTCTTTTATTTTTCTTTTGTCAAAGTTGACATTAATCAACAAATTTTAACAAAAATAAAGAACATCACAGTCGAGCAAAAATGGACCGTTAATTCACAGAAATTGAGGTAAAGGGACTACATTTTTTTGTTTTATGGACTAAAATTGGACACCAAAACATAATGGGGACTCATTTTTTTGTTTTAAGGACTAAAATTGGACACCAACACATAATAAGGACTCATTTTTTTGTTTTAAGGACTAAAATTGGGCACCAAAACATAATAGGGACTCATTTTTTTGTTTTAAGGACTAAAATTGGGCACCAAAACATAATAGGGACTCA